ATTCATGGAAAATAGAATTCAAAGATAATACAATCTTTCCATGAACTTTTTGAAGACCCCTCGTATGCGTATCTTCATCTATACCAGATAATGTCCAAGTGTTTTCCAGGGGGTTTGTCTCAATTTATAGTTAAACCTACAATATTAGTTTTTATTCCTTCACATGTTCATCAGTACTTAGAATTATCAGAAATTTTAAACTTTGCCAATCTGGTAATTTCTAATTATATCTCATTTTAGCTTTCAGTTTCCCTATGGCTTATGAGGATGCACACTTTTTCATATGTATATTTGCCATTTGGAAGTGTCTGGAGTTTTTTGCCTGTTTTCCATTGGTTTGTCTGCCTTTGTATAAATTATTTGTAGGAGTTTATATGTTCCAGATCGAGTCTATTGTCAGTTATGAGTGATTTAAATATTTCTTCTCTGTGGCTTGCTTTTTTGCACACTTAGTGAATTTGGTGAATTCACCAAAATGGTGAATTTGCTGATCAAAATGTCTAATTTTAAAGTACTTTAATTTGTCAATCTTTTCTTTACAGTTAACATTTTCTGTATCTTATTCAAGAAATTTTTTCCTATTTTAACATTTTGAAGGATTTTAAAAACATTTCTGTGTTATTTTTTAAATTTTTTTCTTTTATATTTGTCCTGAAATCTGTCTGGAATTGATTTTTGTATGTACAGTGTAATTTGAGAGTCCAGGTTTACTCATTCATTTATTTTTCATATTATACCAAATTATCTCAATGCCGTTTATTAAAAGAGAAATGCCTACTGCATTCCTCTGTATGGTCTATCATGTAAGGAAAGTCCTTACACATTTAAGAAAAAGTTCTTGGCTAATTCTTGGCCCTCTGTATATTTACACAGATTTTAAAATGAGTTTGTACAGTTACAAAATGAATAAAACCAACAAAAACCAATGAACCTGTTGCAATTTTGGTTGAGATTATATTAAATTATGGATCAGTTGTGGGGAAGATTGATATTCTTACACTATTGAATCTCTGAATTTTGGATTGCAATAGATCTCTCCATTGTTTAGGCCACCTCTAATGTTTATGAATATGTAAATGTTTATAGTTTCTACCAAAGAGGTCTAGTACATTTTTTGTAGATTTATTATTGGGCCTTAATATTTTTTTAATGCTCTTACAAATAGCATCTTTTTAAAAAATTCTATTTTCTAACTGTTGATTGCTTTTATGTGGAAATAGAATTGATTTTTGTGCAACGATTTTTATTTTAGAATTGCTACACTAATAACACATCATAGATTTTTTTCCCTACATACAATAGAAGTGATAGTTGGCAGTTTTAAAGGTAAGCTTTCAACATTTCATTCTTAAATATATGAGAGGTCTTCAAAAA